AACGGCGTAGCTGGCATGAGGCTGGGTAATGGCGTACTCTCCACAGCGATTCATCTGGGCTTTAAGTCCCTGAACCCGCTGATCCAGAAACTCACGACGGAACTCGACTGTGCCAAAGGCACCACCCAGGCAACGAGCGCCGTCCGTCCGGATAGAGACGCCAGTATCCCGGAAAAGATCCCGGGCCTCCACCTCGACTTCCGGCTTCACAACGAGCACCGTCTTCGTGGGGTTGGGCAAGTACCCATACACCGGACCCAGGTTGCTGATGCTCCGCCAGTACTTACGTAGAGCACGAAGACGTCCCAGTGCGGAATCGTCATCAGCATACCATAACTGCTCAGCATCTGGGACAAGCTCCTGCAGTCGATGGATAAGTGGCATGATGGCTAGTGCATACATAGCCATGGCAATTGGGTCACCTTGGCATGTACCCTCACGAGATTGAACCTCACCACCACCGTCACGAAAAGCCGGATCGGTTCTCGGTAGGTGTTTCCCACGATCAGTGACATAGCGGGACAAGTACGGGCGATGTTGTAAATAGCTGCTGAACGGTTAACGCTGTTAAAGGCATTGCTGGCGTCAACCAGCAATACGCCCTCCACATCATCCTGGGCGAAACGTGATGTTATGTGATGGACACCAACCTCACAGGCAGAGGGTACGCCCACACACAGCTGATGGGGCACGGTGATACCGACAACGTCCGTCTCCACAATCTGCATAATGGCTCGTGAGATGATCCGCCGGAATACTTCACCCACGGCAATGGGCCTAACCCCAGGGCGCTTGTCAAGGGGAATCAGTCTCGCAGCAGTGAAACCCTCCATCTCACCATCCGCTGTCCGCTCCGTACAAATCAGCCGGCCAGCAGCCGCCAGGGCGCTGCATAGTTGGTCTGAAGCAGCATCAAAGCACGTCGTCATTCGTCTCCACCCATCGGCATCGACACCGGATGGCCCAGAGGAACCCTGAACAACTCGGGAGACCTTCTTGATCCGATCGGCTGTAAGTCCAGCAAATATAGCTGCACGAGGCTGTACAGGGTCGCCAGCAACCTCACACTCCGGAACAAGGTCAGCAGGCGCAGGGTGCTTCTCCCTCAGGACATCCATGACCGTCCTGTCCCCTGTGGCGTCAACAACATCATCCAGTCGAAGAACTCCACCCCCAGCCTCATCGGAGAGACCACGGGCCGCTGAATGTAGTTTGCCATCAAAGACCAACTTGGCAAACTGGGTGTCGGGCATGCGCCTGTCATCCCCTACCGAACCTCAAACCCTGGGTTTCAGATGGGCCTGGATGCAGCGGGCCTCTGCGAGGAGTTCCTGAACCCGGCCAGCTCTCCACAACACCAGGCGCTCCCTCAGCACCTTGGCCAGGTCACTGCCGTTGCCAGAGCCCAAAGGCTTCTGGAGCAGTAAGTGACAGGCAACGGTGACCATTTTCCAGGCCATGGGGCGCCAGCCAGCTCCCTCCGCAAATCCACGGACAATACGGGCCAACTCCAGGACAAACTCTTTTCCCGACTTGCCATATGGCACGAGAAGCAGATTCCTCCTATAATGCACCACCTCATCGTAGATGGTACTGACGGCGGCATTCAGCGTCCCGGACGACCACGGATCACCACCGCCACCACCACCACCACCAGAATCCGCAGTGCCAGGTGCATCAGAAGCAGCAGCGCCATCACGATCACTGAACTGATGGGTCGAGGCACCATTGGCATCCACACTGGGGACATCCACTGCCGCAATGGAGACAGCAGCAGCTGCAGCACCATCAACACACCCGGCGTGTGGTGGAGTGGAAGCGCTACGCACAGGGCCATCAATGGGTCTCAATCGGGGCGACAGTGCACGACGGCTACGACCACGGCGTCCCTGTACACGAGCCACCGGAGACCTTGAGGCCGACCCATCCGGAGCATGACTCCTGCCCCTTCCGACAGCGCCAGGTGATGAGCGGCGCCGCCTGCTCAAAAAGCCTGGCCTCTCAGGAGATCTATCCGAATGGAATGCTGGATTCGGATCTGCAACCGGCACAATTGGAATCAGCTGAGCATTGCCAAAATTGCGGCACCTACCCGCGCGACCAGGGTAGCAGCTCTCGCAGGCCCTGGCCGACACAGCACACGAGCAGCCACGGCAGCTCCCAGTCGACTTGCTGCACACACAGCATGGCTTCGATCCACCAGCGGGCTGCGACATGCTACCAGAGCGCTAGAGATCGATCACAACTGCACAGTGCACACGGTAACCATGCACACGGTAACCATGGCGAGAAAGCTGATTAGAAAGCTGATCCGACGCGCTCCACAAGCTGAAGATGTATGTGCGACGCCACTCGCCAGCTGATTAGAAAGCTGATCCGACGCGCTCCACAAGCTGAAGATGTGTGTGCGACGCCACTCGCCAACACTGGGCGCGATGAAGCTGCGACACCAGCAAGGCAGCGCTAGTACTGTAATACGGCTGGGACTAGAATATTGTAGAAATTTCGCAAAACTCTCGATGCTCTCCAAGTCCCTAACTGAAGGGACTACCGCTGAAAGGATAATGACCAGGCTAGATAGCTAGCAGGCTAGATATCGACGAGCACCGCAAGCCAAGGAACCGAGGGAAATGCACACTGGGCACTCAAATTTACAGAACACGGGAGCACTGAAAAGTGCATCCACCTCCGAAAAGTGCACTACTACTACTACTACTACTACTACTACTACTACTACTACTACTACTACTACTACTACTACTACTACTACTACTACTACTACTACTACTACTACTACTACTACTACTACTACTACTACTACTACTACTACTACTACTACTACTACTACTGACCAAACCACTTTTACGGGCAAAAAAATACCATGGTAAGCACACAAGTGATGGAAAAGAGTGAGTAAGAACGAAAGAGAGAAAGAAAGAGAGAATGCACTAGTATGTCAAGAGAAGTAATCAATTGTTAAGGTCTTTGAGCTATTGTTATATTGTCCAGATTGACGCATGGACACTGAATCTCAGCCGGCAGCCTGTCGACACTGCACCAACAACGACGAGCGGACGCGACGCTGGTAGGATGATCGGCAACCGCGAAAGCAGGTTATTGCCCACCGTACGAGGCAGAATGCCAGCCGAACACGCAATGCACTGACGATGCTTGAATACCGGATGTCTTTATTGCGCTCCGCGAGCCGACCGGCAAGTGTCGCCAGGAATCGTGAGCACTCCGGCCCCGCCATCCCATTCGTGGCGAACACAAGAGGGGTGAAAGAGCCTCTCTCGACTTCAGTGACCCTGGCACCGTACTGCTGCTTCTTTTGCCGTTCATGGGCCCTGAGTTGGTTAAGGACTTCTGGACCAGACAGCACAGACGCCTTAGGGTGGGTTACCCTAACATCAAAATAAGCGTCTTGCTGCCTTGTCCAGAAGCCCCGGGCACGAATGTCCAGCCGAGCCTCATCAGTCCGGTTAGCCGTCGCATAGGGCAGATCCTCGCCAGACAGCGGCCGGAGACGTGGCTCTGTCTCGACATCGCGAACAGCTTCGGAGAGCGTCTCCGCCAGGATGTCACGCACATTATCGTGCCGGGCAGATGGATACCCGCCGGCGGGGCAGGTTAGCAAATGGTCCATCGTGGAGGCATCACCACAGACACAAGTGGACGGTAGCCCAGGGAGCTGCAGACCATACCGTAGAGCAAGTGCATCACGGAAGTCACTGGCATTCAAGACGGTGCCGTGCGCCAGACGAGGCTCCGCCGTAAGCCAGGAAGACACACCGGCAGAGCCGGCAACGTCCATCAAAAGCTGCTGTGTGGCGGATAGATGATCCTGCAGACCGGCCAAAGATGCTTTGCCAGCCCGACGCCTTGATTGTACAGCAGCCCGCTGTGCGCCTTCCGCCTCCTGGAGCGCCTCCGCCATCTCCCGTAGGCCAGACGAACCACCACCATCCGCCCCGCCATCAGCAGCTGATCCCACACGACCAGTCTCAGGCACGTCCGGGAACCTGTATAGCCCCCGCACTGGCCGAGTCGTCTTAACTGTATCAGTGTACATTACCGTGGCAGTGTCCGCCAACATCGGGATGGCTATGCCGCCACACTTGGAAGGTGCCGACATCAATCTGCGCAAGGCGCTCCCGGAGGCAATTGGCTGACCCAACAGCGGAGGCAAAAGATGATTATCCACTGCACTGTCGAGGGCGCCATGGTTTCGCCGGAGCAGAGCGAAGCACGCATGAGATATCTCCACTTGGGGACCAGCCCTCTCACTACTGCTACTACTGGTGACAAGCCTCTTTTACGGGCAAAATAGCGGAAACGTGAAATCGTAAATCATTGAAGATCAATTCAGAAAACTCCTTTAAATAACGTCAAATCAATTAGTAAATCCAATGTCAAATCCAATGTCAAATCCAATGTCAAAAGAAGAAAACTTTAAACTCAAAGTTAAAATTAAAGTAACAGGTCCCGTCATGTATGCAAGTCTATGCCAATGTCAATATAAATTACCTGTCATGAATGGTATGAATGGATGTGCATGCACTGTCCGTACACCTATCCAATTCAACAAATGGACAGACAAATGACAACAGAGTGAAGTACCTACATTGTACATACATCCTACACCGTACCATCGGCAGCGAGTCCACCCAGTGCCAAGCCGGCGTCTCAGCAGCCCCCAGACCCACCAGGACTCGAACGCGGGACCTTGCTTGTCATGAGGAATGCTCTAACCACTGAGCTATGGGACCGGGCTGAACCTAGAAGGCGCTGACAAGCTTTTCACACCACTCTGCGATTCTAAACATGTTGAGTATGGTTTGAGAGGTCAAATTGTGTAATATGCATTTCATGACGACCGGTTTATGTAGCACATTGGCTCAGGGAATGGAAAAAATTAATTAATTAATTCTGCGATTCTAAACAGGTTGAGTACGGTTTGAGAGGTCAAGGTGTTGTAAAATACTTTCGGTTTTCTACAGCTACTGGTAACTTAAGATGTCCAAAAAATCTAATGATCTCAAATGGAAAAGTACTCTACCCGTCAGACAATGTCTTTCCATCTCAAGCAGTGTACATATGCAACCCAGGATACAAGTTTACTGGCTTTAGATGGGGCAACTGCGACCAACATGGCAGATTTACTACTTTTTTTAAAACTTGCACAGGTATGTAAGTTGTTTCACAGTACTTCTTCATGTGGGGCAATGCTTTTTTCAATATTTCAATAATGGGGATCAATTGTAGAGTAGAGCAACGTTCATCCGTTCAAGGATTATTTTCCCACAATACTGTTCCCAATATCATTATACTTTATCCTGAATCTTTAGGAGATATTGCATAGCTTTGACATTAATTTTTCTGAATGACATTTTAGGGTAGTTTTATAGACAACAACGCAGTGTGAAAAAACCCTACTATTCTACAAAAGATTAAAAATGTATATATCTACCTGGTTGTCTTGTTTTGTTTTGGAAACGCTAGAAGGAGGCTAAATACGTCAGTAATACAATCCATTGTACAATGCCGTTTCTCAGGACACTATAAGGTTGCTCCTACTCTCTGTGCGCCCACCATTTGAAAACTGTAGATATAGGCCAAAAAGGAAGACATATAATCACCCCGAATTTGGTCCGCCTGCCATTCGAAGATGCCGAGACCTCCAGTCGGTTGAGCATGGCAGGCCCACCAGCACCATCTCACCCCATGCTAGCTCCATATGCCTGCCGGTGAGGTGTGTAACGTGTAAAATAAAAAATAAAAAAACACAAATGAAATAGAAAAAATCATATGGAAACGAGTTATGAAGTAACTATCCACGGCTGTAACAATGTACTTCTTTGAAGTAATAAGCAGTCAGAGAGTGCGATAACAGGGCAAAAAATTGACATGTTACTGAGACATTTGACGACCTAGATCTAGCTCTCACACACCTCCAGTGCGCACTCCAACAGCCTTCCAGCTTGGAAGATTCAAGGTTATGGTAGGAACAATGAGGGGAAGGTGAGCGCAGCTAAAATGTGCCCAAGTCTCAGGTCGTTGAATGTCAAAGTAACTTGTCAGTTTTGTGCCCTGTTATGGCACTTTTAAACTGCTTTTTATCTTGTTAAAGTCGGGGATAGTTTATTTTTGATTGATTCACGGAGATCGGAAGTAAATGGTTCGCAACACTTCGAGCACGTTTCAGGATGCAGATAAGAAAGGAGACAGGATTGGGTCTTGGAAATATTTTAGAACAATTCATGTACTACGCTGTGGGAATCGCGGATTATTTTTGGCTACACGACTTTCTATGCCGTCTCTCCGATCACATTCTGTAGTTGCGTCTTACAAAATTAATGGTTTCGTGCTTCAAGTAATAAGCTGTAAAACTTTCCCTCGATCTAGGGCTTGTTTATTTTTTGCAGTACGGCTGTCCATGCGGTTTCTCCGTGTGCACATATCACGAGGAACATAGATTGTATTGCACTGGAGCTGAACTCGATTTTGCGTATTAAAATATCTACCGTCATCAAACCGGTGAGAGGTGGGTAATCCACATTCATTGCTGCCTTGAAGTTTGTAGTGCCGCTCAACTCTCAAATACAGACCTGATGCTGGCATTTTCTCCCAACTGAAAATTGATGAATTTGGTTGTTCCTACATGGCAAACATGCTTCCTGTGGAAGGGGAGAATCGGCAGGAAAGGTGGGGGTGTTGCCATATACCCGCACGGATGTTTACCTGTGAGGGCCCCGAGTTGACCTGCTGGTACCCGAGATGAAGTTTCTTTGGCTGGAGGTTCAGCAATGACCTTATTACACTCTTTGAATGTGGGTACCGTCCTCCATCAGCTCCGGTACAATTTTGGATAGATTTTGAAGATCTAGTAGAGCGAGCAGTGGAAGAGCCTCAAACCTAGAATCGGCGGATTAAAATAAACAACAACAGCAATAACAAATCTCCACCATCTTGATGGGTGATTTCAATATTGACGTTGCCCCACAGACTTTTGCGTCGCAGCACACCTTCCAGGACATTCAAACACAATTCAATCTAACCAAATATATAACATTTTCCACTAGAATTACTCCTGGCGTCCAGCCGTACTCTCGACTTACTGCTTGCCGAAGCAGATTTGCCAATAACCTGGACGATTGATACTGTACACATCAGTGATCACTTTGCCGTAGTAGCCAAACTAGCTATATACTGGACCTCACCTGCTAGGAGCAAGAACATCACTGTCAGTTACAAGAAACTTCATCTGATTAACTGGCCCTGCTTTAAGGCAGATCTGTTGCACCATCTGAGTACATTTAAACGTTCCGAAGATCTTGACACCTCTTAATCTGTCTGGCAGAGCACCATCACTGCTGTTATTGACAAACATGCACCAATTGTATCATTAACAAGAAAGAAAAGGCGAGCATATTAATGTTGACAGGTGAACGTATTGGCATCGTCCGCGAGCGAAATTGTCTCCATAAGCGCTTGATCCGAGACCCAGGAAATGACGACTTGAGGCAGCATCACCGCATTGCTCGTGCATAAGTTCGCCGACTTGACAGACTTCCTCTGTCCGTAAAACTAATGTGCTACTTCAGATCAGCGTAAACTGTTTCAAGTCATGAACAACGTCACTGGAAGTCGGGAACCTAGACAGCAACCAAAGGTGCCAGTTGAGGAAGTAAGCGAATTTGTTGGGGACATTGTTCATGATGTAAGCAGGCCATCACAGTTAATGGTTCCTGAGGGCCCACATACGCCAGACGCCTTCATGTGTTTCCAGTCCGTCACTATCAGTGATGTCTGCAAGCTGCTACAAAGTGTGAACCCCCATAAAGCGACAGGTAGTGATGCAATCCCAGGCATTGTGCTACGTGATTGTGCACATTACTTGGCGCCTATTTTGACTTTGATCCTCAGCAGATCACTAGCCACTGGGCGTGTTCCATCAATGTTCAAGCTTTCCCAAGTCACTCACCTCTTTAAAGGAGGCAATCCAAATGGCTGTGGCAATTATAGACCAGTGTCCCTCTTGCCCGTAGTTTCCCGATTGCTGGAGAAAATCATCAAACAGCAACTTACGGTTTACCTTTATACCTGTCGAGCTATCCCTAACAGTTAGAACACAATTTGCGTATCGAAAACATCACTCTCGCTCTAGCTGCTAATCGCTGGTTGAGGAATCGATCTGATCTCAAAGTCACTGGATACAAACCTACAGAGACGCTCCGTTTCCAGCTCAACAAACACCTCGTGAACACCAGATAGCAGCGTGGACGTGCTGAACAAAAGCTGGGGACCGAAGGCCATTCACAACGCTGTTGCCTCCAACCATCTAATTCTCAAGCCGGCGCCGGGGACAACAATGTGAAGAATCAGGTATTCACTGGAATAATAATGATTCCTGGCAGAGGCTATAGTCGCTTTTAAGCAGGATTCTTCTCACGTCTACTGCTGTTGTTGGTAGTTTGCTATTGTCCTGATTTTTCCGCGCTAAGGAACACAGGGTAACTACGAGTGGAAGGACCAAATTCTTGTTTTTCTTGTAACGTTGGCCTAATTTTTCATTAATATATTAGTAGAGGTATGGCATGTCTTGGCCCTCCCTTGGCCTGATGGCCTACCCCGCCTGCAGAACTTGATAGAATTTGTTTCGGCACACTAAAAATGTATTTAAAGGGGGGGTTGTCAACTGACAACCGCTCTCTTCAGTTGTTTTTCACTGTTGGCACATGCGTTGCATGAAAATTCTTTTATTAGTGAAGACGAAAAATTATAGAGCGGTTGTCAGTTGACAAAACCCATTTTATTTCAAATGCAGTTTCGGGGTGTCCACCACTTTCTGAATAAAAATAAATGTATTACGGAATAATGCGCAATCGTTTCTACTTGTAGCCACAAGCATATTTTGGACCACCAAGCTGGAGTCATCTGAAGCAGTCATGTCATACCACTCAACAAGACTGATCACACAGCATAGGGCTGTGCTCCCAAAAACAAACAAAACAAAAGGTAGAAACAGATTGAATACAAATATCCGGATCGACGAGGGAACCGGATAATCATACACACATGCTGTATATATGCATGAGATATGCTGTATATCAGTAACTGACGTGGAAGGAGGAGCCTTGCTGTCCAGGCCAGATGGAAGTCCTACTTATCAGTAGTCCAGAGCTAGCTCGAGTACGCCAGCACTGCCAATGTACACCGTCTTGCTGACAACGTGAGAGATCAGCTGCTACGCATAAGTAAGAGAGCACTTAGATGCATATTTGAGCATGACACATTCACGCGCACACCATACTTGCTTGAGAGGTACCACATAATTATTATTTTTGTAATTATTCACACATATCCGCCGGATGAGTACGCGAGGCCCATGCACCATGGGAACGCACGAATATAAACCAGCATATGTTCCCTCAGCAATACAAGCAAGCAAAGATAAATTATAGCCCAGGCTGCGAAAAACAAGCGAAGAGAGATAAAGACATAGGCAACGAATACAGTTACAAAGCGAAGCCAGGGATTGGATGTGTTCAAATGGGTACGATGACCACATGATTAGCTTAGACAAAAGATATCATACTAAGTCCATAACCTTCGTTTTCCGTTGCATCCACAATATCTGCAGTTCACTCCTCTCTGACATGTTCTTCCTTCGCCGTGACTGTGCTCACACAGATAGAATCACCCGCGGCCAAGTCAAAAACTCCCTTCTTTCTTTACCCATTGTGCAAGATTAAGCTTGATACAAATCTATTTCATTCCTTGGTGCTGACCGCTTTAATGCGCTTCCCGAATCCCTTCGCACAAAATCATATCCACAATTCATTTCTCCGGGAACATAACAAATCCATGCATCATGGGCACCCTGTAAGAAGACCTTAGGGTCTGTTGGGAATGCTCAAGTAAAAAACAATACAAAATACAAGTACACCCAACGATTTTATTTCGGAGTGCGAGGGATCCGGATAAACGAGGTCTCACTGTATCTCCTTTCCAATCAATGCCCCAAAGCCAAGAGCCTTCTATGGTGATACGTACGCGTCAGTTACGAATTGTGTAGTTATGTGAGTATCTTAATACGAGCGCTCTTA